CTCTCAGACTTTCAGCTCCCCACACAAGAGAAGTATTGGCTGGAGACACAGGTCTCTCCCCTCTTGAATTTTTTCCATGCTGCAGAGTTCTCTGCTTCTACTGTGGTATCTCCAGTAATTCAGATTGCCTCAGCAGGCCTGCTGTGTTTCCCTTCCTCAGACTATAAGCAGCACGATTACTTACCTACAGCTAAGTTACAGCTTTTTCTAAGCAAGCACATTTATTCCTAAGGTAAAAGCATTAGACAGAAAATAATATTATGAAAGACCCTTAAACAGACTTGCCAATAAGCTTACCAGAAATCACTCCAATGCCTACAAGGACTGTGTCGGGTGAGCAGTCCTTCAGCCCCACCCAGGGATTTTTTCCTGTGGTCACAGGTCCATGACAGCTGTTAGCTCAGACCAAGCAGCCTCATGAGTAAGTTTGTGCCTTGGGTCTTTGATCCTGGGAATAGGTAATATATATAGATACTGGGTTTCCCCTCTTTGCTTCAAAAGGATGAGTCCAGAGACAAGCATATGCACTGCCCTCCACTCAAGATTTGCTGGGAAACCCACTCAACTAAATGTTCCTTCTGGTCTGGACTATTGTGTAAGAGTCTTCTGAAGCTTGTAACACTTCCCAAGTTTATATTAGTCACATCTTCCCCTTAGAAAATATACCTACAACCCCACAATAACAGAGAAACATTCACATTTTAATACTATGAACTCCTAAGATTTCACTGGAAAGTTTCTACGCCAATCATACAGTTCTTTGGGGATAAGGACATCTTTGGGTTCTGTGTTTTTACAGCACCTAGCATAATGGGGTCCTGGTCCATGACTAGAGTGCCAGGGTGCTATTGCAATATAAATTTATATTAAGTTTTGTAAATGTTCATTTTTGTACATAAAACCCTTTTTGCTCTAACCCATCTGACCCTTTAAGGCTCCATCAACTATTTCATTACAGCCTCTGATTAAGAAAATTACCTTAAATATAACTTACACCACAGACCACGTTGCAAACACTGGGGAAAGAGAAATTTTTATATATATTTGCACGAGTAAATATGGGCAGGCGTATATAGGCTATGATCTCTCAATGTGTCTGTACTTCAACCGTCAGCATTCATGGGTAGCCGGTCTACACCTTCATGGCTTGAGGCACTGATCTCAGTGCCATACAGTAGCACCAGCATCAGCTCTGGTGGAAGTGGTTCAGCTGCACTGCACAATGGAGAGTACTAGAACGGGGAAAGACAGAGCAATGAGAGAAGAAACAGCACCTCCTTCCTGGGTGAAAAATCACTGGGTATATCTAGCACCGAACTTTCCAAGGTTGAGAACTGGTTGTGTCAATAGAAAGGGCCCAACCCTGATTCCTAGCGCAAACACTCATGTCTGCCACAACAAAGAAGTTTGCACGCCCCACCCTGAAATCTATGTTTTGTGACATACCTGATGGCTCAAGACCTTCCATTCACAAGTCCACCAGCTCTGAAGGCCAAAAGCCACATCAAGAGTTGGTGGCAACAATTTGATTTTTTATAGCAGTTTTTAAAAAACAACAGAATCCTGGGACTGGAAGGAACCTCAAGAGGTCATCAAATCCAGTCCCCTGCATTCATGGCAGGACCAAGCACCATCTAGACCAAGGGTGGGCAATAATTTTTGCTGGGGGGGGGAGGGGACACGACTAAGAATTTGGAAAGTGGTCGAGGGCCACACTCTTCCATGATATTAATGGAGGAGGTGTGGGGTTTGGGATAGAAGTTGGGTGCAGAAAAGAGCTTGGGATAAGGGAGGGAGTTTGGGTGAAGGAGGCAGTTGTGACCTGGTGCACTGGACTGGGGTACAAGGGGTTGGACTGTGACCCAGGAAAGGGAATTGGAGTACAGAAGGCCGTGCAGGGAACGGGTCATGTGCTAGGGCAGGAGGGGACTGTGATCTGGGACAGAGGGTTGGGGGGCTGGATCTGGGAGGGGATATGGATACAGGAGGGGGGCAGAGGATTTGGGTATGTGGAGTGGGCGGGGGCAGGAGTGGGGGGCAGAGGGTTGGAGAAGGGAGGGGCTGGGGTGCCAGATGCAGTGTCTGTCCAGGAGACTTACCAGCCAGTAGCTGATTTTGAAATAAGCCCCCCGC